CGAAGCTTTCTCCCCCTTCCGCTCGGGAAAAATTCCGCAAGTTTTTTTTTTAGGGTTTGGAGGGGGTTGGGCCGGGGAAATATCCACGGTGTGAGGCCCACTGTTTAGAACGCTTTATTACATGGTACTCGCTCCGTTTTTATTTACTTCGCATATTACCTTTGACTGAAGTTAAATTTTATAAAGTTTTACCAAGTTTGTAGGAAACAATATGAGCATTTCCAGTAACAAATTTATATGATATGAAAATATATACAATGATGAATCCAATGATATACGTTTGGTGGTGTATATGTTAATATATTTTTTTACAAACTTGTTGAAAGTATATAAAGTTTCTAGACAAACCTAGTATGCGGAGTAAATAAAAACAGAGGGAGTAGATTTGCGGATCTCAGAGCAGTGATGAGAGACGTGGGCGGCTGATTCTAGCAGGGAACTAGGGAGAGAAAGAGCAGAGGGGTACTAGAGAAGAAGCTCGGATGTCAGGGACAGAGGGTTTCTATCCCGAGCTCGTATGCATCCGGACGGCGAGTAAAATCCGAAAGAATAGTCAAAATAACAAACATTGTAAAAAAATTGTGATGAACATTGATAAATGTTTCACATGTTATTTTCGCTCAGGCCTCCACTAATGTCATTTCATCATGGATTTTTGCGTGCAAAGTAAAACATTCGTCAATGTTTATCAAAAAAACCTTTTCAACTTTTTTTGGATTTTACTAATCATTCAGGTGCATGTGAGCTCAGGACTAAAAGAGCACTTTCGAGATGCAGGCGTCAAAGTTCTTTCTCGTTGCCGATAAACAAAGGCTTTCACCGGACACGGTTAATCTAAGCTCGACCTCATGTGAGCTCGGATGAATAATAAAAAAATCAGAACAAAAATTATAGCAAACATTGACAATTTTTCCATTACTTGCAAAATTTCATCACGGAATGACATTCGTGAAAGACGTGGCAAAATAAACAAAATTGATGCTCCAAAAAAGTTATTTTTAAAAGAATTTTGGAGTATCAATCTTTTTTGTCATGTCCTACATGAATGTCATTCCATGGTGAAACTTTGCAAGCAATCAAAACATTTCTCAACGTTTGCTGCAAAAAATGAGTTTTGGGGAAAAATATTTTTTATTATTATTTTACTGTTCACTCGAGCCCATATAACAAATCTTTTTTTTCATGTCCTACATGAATGTCATTCCATGGTGAAACTTTGCAAGCAATCAAAACATTTTTCAATGTTTGCTGCAAAAAATGAGTTTTTGGGAAAAAATATTTTATTATTATTATTTTACTGTTCACTCGAGCCTATATAACAAATATTTTTTGACATGTTCTACATGAATGTCATTCCATGGTGAAAGTTTGCAAGCAATCAAAATATTTTTCAATGTTTGCTACAAAAAATGAGTTTTTGGGGAAAAAATATTTTTTATTATTATTTTACTGTTCACTCGGGCCCATATAACAAATATTTTTTGTCATATCCTACATGAATGTCATTCCATGGTGAAACTTTGCAAGCAATCAAAACATTTTTCAATGTTTGCTGCAAAAAATGAGTTTTTGGGAAAAAAATATTTATTATTATTATTTTACTGTTCACTCGAGCCCATATAACAAATCTTTTTTGTCATGTCCTACATGAATGTCATTCCATGGTGAAACTTTGCAAGCAATCAAAACATTTTTCAATGTTTGCTGCAAAAAATGAGTTTTTGGGAAAAATATTTTTTATTATTATTTTACTGTTCACTCGTGCCCATATAACAAATATTTTTTGTCATGTCCTACATGAATGTCATTCCATGGTGAAACTTTGCAAGCAATCAAAACATTTTTCAATGTTTGCTGCAAAAAATGAGTTTTTGGGAAAAAAATTCTATTACTCCCTCCGTCCCAAAATAAGTGACTCAACTTTACACTAATTTTAGTACAAAGTTAGTACAAAGTCGAGTCACTTATTTTGGGACGGAGGGACTATTATATTATTGTTCACTCGAGCCCATATAACAAATCTTTTTTGTCATGTCCTACATGAATGTCATTCCATGGTGAAACTTTGCAAGCAATCAAAAGAAATTCAACGTTTGCTGCAAAAAATGAGTTTTGGCGGGGAATTTATTATTTTTATTTTACTGTTCATCGAGCACATATAACAAACGCCGTATGGACTCTCAAAATAATAACCCAGTTTTCTTTATTTTACTACTAGTACGTAGAATAGGCAACCCAGAATCAAACATAATTATCTAACACATATTTATATCAGTTTTACGAAAGCACATCTAGATGTACCATATATTGTCGACCGTGAGTATAGGAACACGTGCATTGTTTGGTAGATTTGGTTCTGTGAATTGATTTGGTAGTGGCTTTGTATAGTTGATTTGGTATAGTAACAAGTCCATAAAGATTTTCCATGAATTGATTACCGAATATTTTGGCCACTCGATTTGGTAGATTTGGTACGTATGGGATGTGTTATGTACGGTTGCGTGTGTTATTTTTGGCAATTGATTGGGTAGAATTGGTATATATGGCTATGCGTGTTTTGGTAAGTTTTAGTTACCGACTAAAAGTGGGAGAGGATCCGGCTAGCTCGATTTCTCGGTGATCTGTTGAATCTAGCTATCATCCCAATGACGCTCCTCATCGACAACAAATCTGCCATCTCGCTCTGCAAAAATCCAATGCCCCATGACCGCAGCAAGCACACCGACTTGCGCTATCACTTCATCCCTGACTGCGTTGAGAAGGGCATGATGGGTGTGGAGTTCATCAAAATCAACATA